CAGGTACACAGTACCAGCCGTGGGCTTCTGGAAGTAGTTATCGGGAATCAGACCGTAGGTGCAAAGCACCGGCCTAAGCTTCTGGATCAGGTAAGATATAACAGGGTCCGAAATTTAGGCCTTTGGTACAAAGCACCGGCCTAAGCTTCAGGAAGAGCAGGAGATCTTAAGCTTCAGGAAGAGCAGGAGATCTGGAGGGTGGTTCTGGTAAAAGGTTTTGAGCTATAGGAAGGTGATCTCAATCAGTCCTCTCATCGACGGGACACTCCCTTTTATATTCAACGGCTGGTTACGTTTGGGGGAATATTTGGAAATGGTAATCGGGAAGGGGCTAACGGGAAGTGGTATTTGATATGATCGGAAAGGTAGGTGGCGGCATCTCACGGAACTTCATGAAAATAGTGTTCATCATTTCTTCCTAAAATGATTATAAAAAGTATCATAGTTGGATTCCTTACACTGGTAGGAACGTACGATTAATTTTAAGCACTGGTTAATTCGTCAATTGTGCAAATAACCACAGGGAAAAGAAAAATCAAAAATAACTCGACGAGAAATTGGACATAAGTGGGTAGGTATGTATAATTTTTGTATACGGCCCTTTAAAAAGAATGGGAAATTTAATTACTTTAATGAACATACGTGACAGAATTTAATCAATAAGCCCAAGCCCGCCCAATAAAAGTAATTTGTGAATTAAAATAGTTTACCTAAGTTAAGTGTATTTATTTACACACTGCTAATACCTAATGTTTTTTAATGAACACAGCAAACCGGTAAGAGATTGCAATTTCAGAGAATAAAATAAACTGATTATCATATACAAATCATGCTTAATCGCGATTACGACACGTAAAAATTACGTATCTGCGCTATCGTCGAGTGACGACTCTTATTACCGGGGTAGCTCTAACATTACGCCATGCAAATGCATTAGAAAAGTGGATCATCAGCAGGCCGCATAAATTTCATTCGGTTTATGCTTTTTTTGCACTTTTCCGGGGAAATGACCTGCACCTTAATTGCCTTACCTGTCGCAGACAAAGCAGACACCGACATTAAATAGTTCATTGGAGCCTTTGCACTTTTGCACGGATAAGTCAAGCAAATTGGCACTTACCTGAAACAAAAAGAGAAAAACTTTTTTACTTGCGCTTTAGTGACATATTGAAGGGTTAAATTTATAACAAAGCTTACTTCTCATTTCTTTGTATCGCATCATCTGGACAAGTTATCGTCGAAAATGGGTGCGTTCACCAGAACCAAACGTGTTTGCGCTTACCGAATGCAAAAAGAACGAAGTAAATATCTTGAAAACTGTAGGAGTAGTTAAGGCCTCGGACAGACGGACGGACAGAGAAATTGGCTGCAATAGCGCATCCAACTTCGTTGGAAAATGCGCTAAAAACCACTTGAGGAGTTCTATGACATCACAAAGAACTTTGACAATTTGACAATAATTTCTGTAGAAAGGAATAATACCTTGGATAGTTTAATTTAGAAGCAGTCGAGGAAGCAGTAGTGAAAGAATTTATGTCTTTGAAAGCAAGAAGAGGTGTTCGAATTTAATTTGTGTAAACATATAATAACTTTTTTTAATTTTTATACTGTTTACTTATTTACTCGCGTAGTATTCGATTTTATTTTGTTTTGAATTTTTGAAACTAAATAAAGATTAAAAGTATATTCGGTAGGCACAGATAATTTCTATTTTCTAGTCTGGACGGGCCCATGAATACTTCTTGCACCGAACAATTTATTGTCTTAAAAACGGCACTGCAGTAAACTAGGGTTAATAATTGGAACCGCATGTCCTTTAATTGTTATTCAAATTAAAAACATTAAATTGTCAAATATGGAAATTAATATGTTTAGCATTTAATGTAAGTAATAAACTGTCAAAAGGTTTTTTTTAACGCTGCCGTGGTGCATTAAAGTTTTATTTCAAACGTGGGACTTGTCCAAGAGAACACTTATTTAATTGAGTTATACATGTATGGTGTGAAAGGGTCAAAGGGTGAAGTCGATTTTTTATTAAAATAACAATGGTACATCGTGATGTGGGTTTCTCACGAGCAGACAGGCATTGACCGCGGTATTGAAAAAAATACTACGGTACTCAAGTTGGGTACATTTTTTCCAAGCGAGTGGGTTGGGCGATGAACAAAACGGCAAAGCCAAAAAAGCAGAAGTCAAGAGAAAGGACAGGTTTTCATTTCAAATATTTGTTAAGGTCGCAACATGTGAAAGGTCACTAAAAAAGAACGAAGAACATGCGGCTCCTTTCGATTTAGAGAGATGAATAAATAATCCGCGTTGTCTTTAGTCTAGACAGGTAGGTGGTAAAACATGCCTTCACTAAATTTAAGATCGTTGTTTAAAACACCATTTTAATGTATCATCAGCATCAAATTAACTAATAAATAATTTCTAAATTTGTGTATAGAAGTGAAACCAGTTTTTTCCTTATATAATTTGCGGCTGATTTGTGAATTGATCAATCTTATCTTTTAAGTGGATGTATTAATTTTTTAATCGGCCGGTGGTCAATCTTTAAATTAAATTGCTTCGAGATCAGAAATCGATTAGTTTGTTCGATCTGTTCGGAATGCAAAATGTTTACAAATAGTTCTTAATCTACCACCCCAAATAATGTTGAGATAAATTACTAGTTTCAGGGAATTTGTCCTACATCGGGCTTTCCGTTTCACACAACTTGCTTTCTGCACAACTTCTGCACATCCTGTATATGGTTCAGTTCATCCAGTAGAACATTTCCTCGACTTTCTTTGGTACATTCTGGCACTTTTACCATCATCGTTCTTCATCGCCGACCTTGTTTTTTCTGGCATTACCATGTCATGATCTCGAATACACATTATGCATTTTAAAAACTCTTGTAAGTACCACATAAACATTTAAAGGCCGTCTGAAATCATCAAGCCCTTAGGGAAATTCACGGCAATGTTGCATTTTCCCTTTGTAGGTACCTTCCTTCGATACTCCATTTTCGAAATCTTCACACTGATACGGATTTCACATGTGTCTCATCTCATCTATGCTGATGATGCACAGCTTCAAATAGATTTTCAATCTGATAAAGTGGCTTTAGCTAATAACTTAATTAATTCTGACATTGATCTTAATAATGTTAATTAAACAGAACGTGGATGCAGAGTTTTGCATTCATCAGTTCTATTTCACAAGATAATAATAATAATAATCCAACATTAATATCGGCATGCACACGACTTGTGTTTTGTGGTAATTACCTTTGCAGTGGCAATTTACTGAATTCCTGGGGTCCACAATCGCACTGTGATAATTTGCGGCTATCACAAAAAAAATAATGTAATTTGAATTGACTTGTAGAACTTTGCGGCGTCTAACCAAATAAAACAAATAGGTAGCGTAATAAAATTTACGACATTTAATTAACAGCAAAAAATATATACATTGAGGTGAACAAAAAGGTGCTTACTGTTCAGCAGTTCGAAACCGACTCTGCTTCATTTAGGGATACTTGTCCCTGGCATCTTAAAACTACCGACCGTTAGGCCTTTTCGAAATAATAAGAAGGTCTTTTCTAAATAAAAATACTAAGAAATTCTCAACAACTTGCACAAACAGAATACAAACATCGACACGATCAGGTAGCTAAAATCATACATCAAAAATTAGCTCTTAAACATAATCTCATAACAGATAAGACACCATACTACAAATACACGCCACAGATAATACTTGAAAACAACACACATAAATTATATTGGGACAGGACACTACTCACAGACAAAATGGTAGTGTCCTACCCCAATATAATTCTACGAAAGCGTAGAAGGGCCACATACTCTCCATTTTTACTTGCAATTGCGATTTACTATATCGCAATTGCGTCTTAATAACTTGCAATTGCGACTTACTATCTCGCAATTGCGACTTACTATCTCGCAATTGCGACTTACTATCTCGCAATTGCGACTTACTATCTCGCAATTGCTACTTACTATCTCGCAATTGCGACTTATAAACTCATAATATTACAATTGATACCTACTGTCGATTAGCTTGCCTTAAGCCTTAGTCTATGTTGTACGTTTGTCGCGTATTGCATGCATTGCAAAAATGAGTGAAACGCAATTGATCACATTTTATTTTACTCTCGGGTTGTCCAACGATGAAATTTTAGCTTTCCTTAAAGTACAACATAATTGTAATATTAGCCTTCGGACTTTAAAAAGAAGATTGAAAAATTTAAAACTTTTTCGAAAGAAAGGATATTCTCCAATAAACCAAGTGGCTACATACTTATTTAAGGACACAGGTATCCAAATCAGGGCAGCTTCATGGATATCGTTGGATGCACCTCAAATGCATTCAAGAAGGTTTTGTAGTTCGGCAGGAAACTATTCGGCGACTTTTGAAATCCATTGATCCCGTGGGTGTTGAAATAAGAACAAGGAGAAGACTTCGAAGAAGACAATACAATAACAAAGGACCAAATTACTTATGGCATGTAGACTCTTATGACAAGTTAAAGCCGTTTGGTATTGGAATTAATGGGTGTATAGATGGATTTTCGCGCCATATTATGTGGATGAAGGCTGGGAGAACTAATAACAATCCCCGTGTTATCGGTGGTTATTTTGTTGACACTATACAAAAGATTGGAGGCATACCATTGACCATCAGGGCCGATATGGGTACGGAAAACCGCCACATCGAACAAATGCAGGTATTTTTTCGAAGAGATACGGGTATTAATATCCACAGACCAGCGTTTCTTTATGGTAAAAGTACAGCCAATCAAAAAATTGAGTGCTGGTGGGGAATATTAAGAAAGCACAACGCGGAGTTTTGGATGAATTTATTTAAAAAGATTCAAGACGATGGCTATTTTAATGGTTCTTACTTGGAAAAAGCACTAATCCAATTTTGCTTCCTTCGAATAATCCAGGTACGCTTTGAACTTAGTTATTTTGTTATTTATCACATTAAAATTTTTTTGTGTAGTCAGAGCTGAACAGCGTGGTTTTGGAATGGAACTCGCATAATATATCTTCATCGAAGAACAGCATATTGCCAAGAGGAAAACCATTAATTATGTACCATATTCCTGAAATATATCGAAGTAATGATTATTTGATCTCCGTTGAATTTGACGACTTGGAAATTGCTCGTGAAGAATGCGTATTTCTTGATCAAGAATGTCCCTGTGATAAGAATGTTTTTGAACTTTGTAATATTCTACTTAATGAAGCTGCAGTAGAAAATATTCCATCCGATCCGTATAATGCGATTGATGTGTACTTATACTTACGGAACAAACTATCATGTTTATTATAGTGTTGTAAAACCGCACAATAAATAAGTAGATCCATTTGCAAAAAAAATTAAGCAGGTTAATAAAGATGAAAAATACGTACAGTCTATCTCAGGAAGGAATGCCGGTCACAGAACACTTGATGCCGATCTATAATCGTATGGTTTAATATGAAAAACATGGCAAATTACTTCCCTAATAATAATACTGATTAGAAAATATATTCTAATCAAAGTATTATTACTACGGAAGTAATTTGCCATGTTTTTCATATTAAACCATCGATTTTAGATCGGCATCAAGTGTTCTGTGGCCGGCATTCTTTCCTGAGATAGACTGTATATGTGTAAGATTGTCCGTTGTAAGTGTACAATCGCCGTCGAGATACGAACTCCAAAGGAACTGCCAGTTGGTTAAAAAAAAACTACTGCGTACATATGTAAGTAGGTACCTAAGGTATGTATATCCTTTGGAGGAATTCAAGCAGGTTACAGATTTCGAAGTTATTTGAATTAAACATTTCCTGTTCTGTGATGTAAACTCAGTCGTACAATAGGTATAACCGTTAAATCGTTAATCTAATTTTTTGCTATTATTCCCAATAATCTGAACCTTGAATAAACCAATCTCGCAGAGTTACAGATACCTACAGTTAATTTATCCAGTTTATTTTCAAATAATGCCGAACGTATTTTTTATTTAGTAATAAAACGAAACAATCATTCTTATTATGGTAAAATTATAAAATAAAATATGTAAAAATTAAAAAATATCCATTATCCAGATGTTAGAGGTTAATATACAATTGAATTCTGAACGAAACTCCATGAAATTATCATAACAATCGGGAACTTCTAAAGTATTTGTGCATGTATGGGCAATCGGTCGACGGCTGAAACCATCAGATTTGGAAAATATAATTTTTATTTTATTACCCAAAAGGATGTCAGCCCCCGTTGCAAACCTTAGAAAAGCCATACGAATATTCTCAGGAGCCTCACGTATATATCTCTTTAACATAGCAGATACTTTTTCTGCTTCCTCGGACAAGTTGTCATCATATAACAAAGCTGCTAGTATGTTTCTAGATGTTGGATTGCTAGTTCTATAAATTTCATTAAATTCGTTGACATCTACCAAATTTACTAGGACTTTATTAAAGCAATCAGATATGAAAGCAGACTTCTGAAGAATTTCTTGGTGGGCTAGTTCGTCAATGATTTGTTTAATATTATCTTCTTTCGCCAGAGTTTTACAATCGTAACGACCTAACACATCAAGGAGTTCGTCCGTAGGAATCGACTCAAAATGGCCAATTGCCTCACGGAATACTGTTTGTCGTCTTCGCTAATGTAACCAAAAAAATCAGTAGTTACGTCTCCAGAACATTGTTTGAAAATTGTGTATTCCATGAAACATTTCGATAATCTGATGGGAAAATACTTGTCAGTAATCCAACCTTGTTTTAATACTTCGGCGATTGCTGACCATTTTTCTACTCCAAAATCGTGTCTTAGTTGGGGAACTTTAATGTTTGTACCGATTGTGCATTTTTCATACATGGAATTCCAAAACTCGCTAAGTGCATCCCTCCATACCCCACCCAAATCTTCGGCACACTCCAATTCACCATTGGGGAGCATGAGAGTTACATGTATTTTACTACCGACCATTCTTCTCTCCAGAAATATATTTATTAGCTCTTCAAATACCCGTCCTCTATGAAGACAAATCGAGATATCGGCTGTTGGACTCACAGGAGTAACAGGTGTATTCTCAGTATTCTGTTCCAATGACAAAATGAAACCGTCGTTCTCTTCGTTTTGTATTTGTGTTGCTAACAACCTGTCGTTTGCAACCACTGCATCCGGTGGTAAACAAAGGAAATCTTCAATGTTGTAACTGCACTGGAATTCCGTAAGGTCAGAAGAAAGTTGTGTTGGTACTTCCCCATACATTGTGTCGCTGGTGCCCCTTGTATCCGCAGTTTCACTTGTGACAGTCTCACATACTTCCTTTCTTTTCTTTGGAGTAGTGCACAAATACAGGTGGAGTCGCGTTATTTTAGCAGTTTGAAACATTTTTTCAATGGTCATTACTTCATCCTCTAGTTCTTTAGCACAAAAGTCTAATAGGGTAGTGTTCATATCGGACAACTTTAGTCCTTTTGAAGATGTACCGTTAGGGAAAAATAGATTGCATCCTTCGTCAATGATGTCTTGTTTATTGTAATATTTAGGTACGCGAACATCTCTACTACCGCCTCCGTTAATTGCTCGTACTTGCTTCGGTTCCTTGAATGTTTCATTGTAGTGAAACCATCCAAGTTTTATGAGTCTCGTATTTTTACCATTTCGGGGTTTTGTACTGCTTGGTTGCATTGAATCATCGTCTTCGCTGTAAGAGTTACTATGTTTGCGTTTGTTTGACACTTTTTTGCGAAGACGATCAAACAAACTGATTTTGCGATTGTTTGTATGAACTTGTCGTTTACAAAAATCTACAACAGCAAGTCTATCTCCATAAGATGCAAATAATTTTGAAAGTTCCGTTTCATCCATTAAAGCAATAATATCCGTGTCAATCTAAGAAAGTAATATTAGTGTGTAAGCAATCATACATAACCACAGAACATAATACCTTATGTAGTCGAAGGTAATTTAGAGTATCTTCTGCTACATTTCGTCCAATTAGAAACTCTTCCAGTGCTGTAGAAAGGTGATAGCTGGTTTCTTTATCCATCTAAAAATGACGGATTTAAATAACGGAATGCCTGAACAAAATATACCTAGAAGGCAGTCTTAAACATTTTGTATAGACTGGTTACAATTTAGGTAAGTACAATGTATTTATACAACTTTAATCTAAGGTTGGTGGAGTAAATTCCAAATATTCAAAACATGATGATGAATGAATACCATTGAATAAAAACACTATTCTTATTCAATGGTAATACTGATGACTAAATACAGTTTTCAAATACGCAAAGATTTTCTCTAAGTTTTAAATCATTATCATCAAAATTTAGTTCAAATTGCTCCATAAATAAGAAAGTTGCGTTTTGCGCATGCGCACAAAATTTGTTGTGCAAGCAATTTATTTGCTCTTATTAAAAGGACCTACCATCAAAATTTCGTTCAAATTGCTCCATAAATAAGCAAGTTGCGTTCTGCGCATGCGCACAAAAATTTTTTCGTATGTAATTTATTTGCTTGACTCAACTATTAGCATTGCGTCTTATATGATTAAAGGTATTTGTGGAACTGGATGCTCGCTTGCTTACTCACCTCAGAGAATAAGTGTAACACTTCACCTGTTGAATGTTTAAGTTAAGACTAGTAATGTACAAAATGGAGAATTATAAGTTGCAATTGCGAGATAGTAAGTCGCAATTGCAAGTTATTAAGACGCAATTGCGATATAGTAAATCGCAATTGCAAGTAAAAATGGAGAGTATGTGGCCCTTCTACGCTTTCGTATAATTCACAACACACAAGTCGAATGAAATTTTCGTGAAGGAACATTTCGAGACATTCCTAAATGATATGCCGTTTCCATTTGAAGTCCGTATAGTTATACCAATTTGCAGTTTCACTGCTTGTCATAAAAGACCAACCATTTGCATATTTAGTAATTGACAATAATAATAAAACAAACAATTTGGTGCCTATGCATACAATTACACTTTACATTACTTTTACGTACCCTCTGATTTTCATATAAATAACTTAGTCGGTACTGGAAGTCGAAGAGGTTATCGGTAGATCCATTGCCTATTATTATTGGTCAGCATCCGGTTAATTTACTATAGTAATTACGCTTATAATCAAAGTATTAAATTAATGGGAGCCTTCTAGACTATTTTGCTTTGATTATTTAAACGAAAGAAAAATGGGAAAACGCTCATGCAAAAATTTTATCAATCCAAAATATCGTCTCTTTAACAGAAGCATGCCGGTAGGCGGTATTGTGTAATAAATGCGTGCTTGCAGATGAAAACTGTTTTCCAACTCGAGTCTTGTTAGCTTTTGTGACGAAATTGCAGAGCAAAAAATAAGGCTCGTGGGAGACTCGATATCTTATATATATGCTCGATATGCTAACAATAGCTTTTACAAATGGTATCATTTAGAAGAGGTGTGCGCGTGGGCGGTTGGCGGATCAATTTTTTTACCACAATATGGCCACCTACGTCCTACATAGATTGTTCACCTTTGGGTAACGAACTTTTAATAAAGCACGTCTTAATATGACCGTCTGTTTTTTTTTAGGATTAGCACCTGAAGCTCGTGGTAATGAATAGAAGAGTTTGGGGGTGGGCGGGGCGTTCATTAAAAGGTATTCACTGTGTGATTAAATTTATTGGACTTTCAATCATGCGGTTAGACGAAAAGATCTATCATAATATTGAAGGTATTAACCTTTATTTATTGTGTACATTAATTTATCAATGTTGTGCCGTCACGATCAGTTTTCTCTTGGACATTATTGGTAAACATTAACCAACAGCAACAAAAAAAACACCTGGAACGACGTTGTCTTTCATTAATGTGCTACATGCTCTGCCTATTTTATCCCAAAGACAGTAGTCGAAAACGAAAATACCACACAAGTATGAAACAATGTTAAGATTCTTCCCCTTCCACAATCGACAATTCTTCAGAAGACTTATAATTTCTTTACAGACGAAACGTGGGAACCCTGCAGTTAGCTTTGTTGCACTGAAGAAAATGGTGCAAAAAACAAATGTGTCAAAACACTCTGCAGTGGACAGCAACAGTGAGTAGGGTTTCCAGACAGTCTGGGAATTATTTACAATGTGCAATTTTTGTTGTCTTATGTAGACTCCTATTCGCCTTTGTACCTTTAACGCAGTATAAAGAAAATAGACACAAAGGGGATAACAATGTCATAAAATATTGCCAACATTTTCTTTGTGAGTAAGGAAATGTTTCTTACTGTTCCCTTATCAACAAAAAAACAAAAACTTGTTTTAGATGATGGAGAATGCCGCGAATGGGAT